CTGCTGCCAGTGCTGTTGCTGCTGTTGCTGCGGCTGTTGCTGCTGCTGCTGTTGCTGCTGCGCCAGCTATTGCTGCTGTTGCTGTCCCAGTCATTTCGTCTGCAATTGCTGCTGCCTTGAAGACAATCCCAAGAATCGCTCGGTGCTGCTGCGCATGTGTCCACGCCACCCGGCCCACAACTTGCAGCAGCAGCAGCAGCAGTTGCTGCTGCTGCTCTATTCGACGGGTTGTAGCTCATGTGGTTGCTGCTGCCTTCTGGATCAGCTGCGCCGTGCTGCAACACAGCGCTTTCAGATTCTGCAGCAGCTGCTGCAGTTCCTGCTGCTGACACCTGCATTGACCCCTTTTCGCTGCCGCTGCTGCAGCAATGCGGGGGCTCTTCCTGAGCAGCAGCACCAAGCAGCAGCAGCACCAAGCAGCAGCAGCACCCGCGCTGCAGCTGAGTCACTTAGCAGCCGGGCTGCATATTTGCAGCATTATGGTTTAGGGTTTCGGGTTTAGGGTCTAGAGCATAGGGTTTGCTGTTTGCGCGCACCTCCATCATGAGGCTGGAACTTTCCAGGGTTTGCTTCAGAGAAGACTTCGTTGCTGCAGCTGCTTCCACTTGCTGCTGCTGTTGCTGCTGCTGCTGCCGGGTGAGAACTGGGAGCACTGACCTGCTGCAGCCTGTAGCAAGTGTCTTCACGTCCGTGGCGTTTCGCAGCTTTTGCTGCTGTTGTTGCTGCTGCTGCTGCTGCTGCTGCTGAGCAGAAGCAGTAACATTCATGGGGCGAATCACCAGACCCATCCCATTCGAAGGGGCCCTTTCTCCAGCAGCAGCAGCAACAGCAGCAGCACCCCCAATCTCCGCTGCGCCGGTGCGCCTCAAGATCTTTCCTTGCTGCTGCTGCTGCTGCTGCTGCTGCATAGGCTCAGCTGCAGCGCTGCAGCGACGCTTCAGCGGCGGCAGTCGGGGAGCAACTGAGGCGTCTGCAAGGACAAAAAGCAGCCCTAAACCCTAAACCCTAAACCCTAACACCCTTCGCCTTGGCAGCTAAACCCTAAACCACGAAGTCGTAGGAGTGACGCTGGAGCTCACCGGCTACGCTGGGAGGGGCTCTTTGTTGTTGCTGCTGCTGTTGCTGGTTTTGGCGGTGCTGCTGGTCCTGCTGCTGCTGTGTCGGCCTGCGCTTTTGCTGCTGCTGCTGCTGCTGCTGCCGCCGCTGCTGTAGCTGCTGTTGCAGCTGCTGCTGCAGCTGCTGCTGCAGCTGCTGCCGCTCCGCAGCCCTCTCGTCCCCAGAGGAAACTGAGTCAGCCAGCACTTGCTGCGTCTCAACCAGCAGCGCCAGAGCATCATCAAGGGCTTGCTGCTGCTGCTCCAGCCTTTGCTGCAGTGCGTGGGGCTGCTCCAGCTGCTTCTGTTGCTGCTGCTGCTGGCTCGGCTGGCGCAGCAGCAACGCAGCAGCCTGGCGCCCGATATGCCGCAGCAGCAGTCGACGTTGCTGCTGCCGCTGCCTGCAGCAGCACACAGGGACAGCAGCAGCAGCATTAACAGCAAAGCCACGACAAACTTTGGCCCTTAGTGAGGACACGCCTTGCCAACTTGCAGCTGCAGCAGCAGCTGCTGCAACAGCAAGTTCCGACACAGCGACGGCAAGAGCGATGCTAGCAGCAAAATGAACAGCAGCAGCGGCTGCAGCAGCGGCTGCAGCAGCAGCTGCGACCCAGTTCGATCTACATGCACAGCCTGCTGCTAACAGCGGAGCTCTTGTTAGCCTTTCATAAGGCAAAGGTTCACACTGCAGCAGCACTTCCTAAGTTGCAGCAGCAGCAGCAAAGGGAGGAAGCGCAACGAGAGCAGCAGCAACAACAGCAACAGCAGCACCACTAACAAGCGCAGCAAGTGCAGTAGCAGCAAGTGCAGCAACAGCTACGGCATCAGCGGCAGCTGCCGCAACAAACGAAGGGGCAGCAGCAAGGGCAGCAGCAGCAAGGGCACCAGCAGAAGCAGCAGCAGCAGCAGCAACAGCATGGCCCGACCTCTTCTTGTGGAGTTTTCGCTGCAGAGCCCTCAGCTCTTGCTGCTGTCTCTCGAGCCTCTTTCTGTCCCCTTTGCATGCTTCTGACTTTTGCTGCGCCTTGATTCGGCAGCGGTCCAGTTCTTGCTGCAGCTGCTTGACTTGCTGCTGCTGCTGCCGCTGCAGCACCTGCTGCTGCTGCTGCAGCTGCAGCAGAAACGCCCGACGCATGCGGTGGTGCTCGCCGCTCCAGTCAGCAAAGACGTCGCGGCGTCCATACACTCGAGAGCTTTGTTCGTACAGCACCATGCGCTGCTGCCTCTCGACCTGCAGCAGCAGCAGCAGCAGCAGCAGCAGCAGCAGTAGCAGCGAAGCAGCAACAGCAGCAGCAGCAGGCAGGCACACGCACACAAAACACACAAGCGGTAGCTCCAGCTGCTGCTGCTGCTGCTGCTGCTGCGCTGGGCCTCGCGAAACTTGTTACTTGCACAGTTGTGCTGCAGCTGCTGAGGCCGCATCGCGTGCTGCCAGTACTGTATATTTCTTCTTTGCTGCTGCTGTTGCTGCTGCTGCTGCCAGTGTTTCGAAGCAGCAAGTGCTGCTGCTGCTACCTCTTTGGCTTCCGCGAGAAGGCGCCAAAGAAGGCGAGGCAGTTTGTGCGTCCTTGAGGCGAGCTGGCGCTGAGATGCCTGCAGCAGCAGCAGCAAACACAGCAGCAGCAGCAGCAAACGCAGCAGCAGCAGCAGCAAACATACCGGCAGCACAAACGCAGCAGCAGCAGCAAACGCAGCACCACATGCAACTCAAGCAGTACAAATAAAACTTGGGGGTGCAGCGTCAGCAACAAACGAGAAACGAGCTTATTTCCGAGCCTCTTCATTTCCTGTGCAGCAGGAGCTGCAGCAGGCACAGCAGCAGCAGCAGCAGCAGCAGCAGCAGCGCACTCTCTGTGTCTTGATCTGCTCCGTGAGGGCAGCCTCGACTGTCTTTGCTGTCTCTCTTTGCTGCGCCAGAGTTGCAGGCCAATGCCAGCCAGCTAGCTGCGCCTCCTCGGGAGTCTTGCTGCTGTTACTGCTGCTGCTACTGCTGCTGCTGCTGCTGCTGCTGCTGGCTGCCTGCTGCTGCTGCTGCTGCTGCTGGCGATCTTCAACAAGAAAAGCATAGCGTTCAGCGAGCCGCCGGCGTGCTGCCTGGAGCCTCTCTTCTGCGGCAGCGTGAACCCCTGCTGCTGCTGCTGTTGGTGCTCGGGCTGCTGCTGCTGCTGCTGCTGCTGGCGGTGCTGCTGCTGCTTCTGTTGTTCCTGATGCTGCAGCTGCCAACTGCTGCTGCAGCTTCTCGGGCAGCCGCTGAGCCTCCAGCAGCGCCGCTATGTTGCAGCGCCACTGCTGCAGAAAGAGGGCTTGACGGGGGGTTAGGGAGCAGCTAGGGTTTGCTGCTGCTGCTGCTGCTGCTGTGTCTGCTGCTGCCGCTGCTGCCGCTGCTGCAGACGAAGGGGACACAGCAGTCTCCGCTGATGTGGCTTTAGCAGCCTGCTGCTGCTGCTGCTGCTGCTGCTGCTGCTGCTGCTGCTGCTTGTGGACCAGGATCCAGGTGTGCCGCGCCGGATCAGCAGCAGCAGCAACCTGCCGACTGAAGCGACGCCCTAGCTCCGCTGCTGCTGCTGCTGCTGCTGCTGCTGCTGCTGCTTTTCCTGGTGTGCATATATCTGCGGAAGTGACACCGGGGAAGCAAATATTGAGGGTTTGAGCGGCTGCAGCACGAAAGGCTGGCGGCAGTATGGGGTGCGCCTTCCAAGAGCAGCGGTTGCTGCTGCTGCTGCTGCTGCTGCTGCTGCTGCTGCTGCTGCTGCTGCTGCTGCTGCTGCTTTCTCCCGATGCAGGCAGTGGAAATGACCCTGTCGGAGGATAAGCATCTCCTGCAGACCAGACGCAAGCAAAACCCTTGCCCTAACTCTAAACCCTAAACCCTAAACCCTGATTCTGAGCAAGCATCAAATCCCCAAGGTGCTTGGAGCCAAGGGTTTAGGGTTTAGGGTTTAGGGTTTAGGGTTTAGGAATTGGGGTTAGGAACCTGTCACTGTGTTGACGAGGGCCAAATCCGTTTTCCCCCTTTCCGCGAGCAGGCGCACAAACATCCCATGCTGCTGCTGCTGCTGCTGCGGCTGCTGCTGCTGCTGCTGTTGCTGCTGCTGCTTATCCGCAGCAGCAACAGCTGCAGCCACCCCTTCTGGCGGCATTTCCTCACATGACCAGCAGCAACAATGGCTGCAGCATTGCTGGGAGCAGCAGCAGTTGCTGCTGCTGGAGCAGTTTCGGCTGCTGCTGTTCCCGGGGCCTGCAGCTGCTGGTGCTGTTGCTGCTGGCGTTGCTGCTGCTGCTGCTGTTGCTGCTGGCGTTGCTGCTGCTGCTGCTGTTGCGGCGGCTCGATTCGAATGCTATAGTGGGGTCGTGCCACGCAGGCGCTGCTGCACTGTCCAGTGTTTAGGGTTTAGGGTTTAGGGTTTAGGGTTTGAGTCAGCCAGCAGAGACTTGAAGGGTTTAATGGTCTAGTGTTTCATTCGGAGGGTTTAGGGTTTCTTCACTCTGTAGAAGGCGGCCAGACAACGGCAGCCGACACGGGGGTGTTACTGCTGCTGCTGCTGCTGTTGCTGCTGTTGCTGCTGCTGCTGCTGTTAGCAGGAATTAGGATGTGTCAATGTTTTTGCTTCTGCTTTCAGTGTCTTTAACTAAGTATTACCATTTGCTGCTGACGCCGCCCCGGCAAATCTGCTGCTGCAGCGAACACCTTAAGTAAGACTCGCTGCATGCAGCAGCAGCGGCGGCAGCAGCAGCAGTAACTGCAGCAGCAGCAGCTGTCAAACTTTAAGTCGGCTAGCTCTACAATAACTTTATTTGTTTTGCAGCAGATGCGCCTTCTTCTCTAGCTTGCTCTAAACCCTAAACCCTAAACCCCAATACGCAAACCCTCCTCTCCCTCCGGCCCAGTTCCCGCAGCAAGTCAAGATGAAGAATGCTCAAATGCTGCAAGGTAAGAATTCAAGGATGCCACAGCAGCAGCAGCAGCTGCTGCTGCTGCTGCAGCAGCAGCAGCTGCTGCTGCTGCAGCAGCGTGGGTTTGAAACGCTGCGCACGCTGCTGTTCCCACTGTCGCTGCTGCAGCAGCAGCAGCAACCAAGGATTCTGCAGATGCCGCAGCGCAGTTGTTCCTGCTGCTGCTGCCGCTGCTGCTGCTGCTCCTGCGAGTGCTTTTGGGCCAGCAGCAGCTCTATATGTTGCTGCTGCTGCTGCTGCTGCTAGTGTTGCTTCTGCGTCTCGCAACCCTTTAGTTGTTTGCTGCAGCAGCCGGTCTAGCAGCTGGCGCTGCATCTGCTGCCTGTGTTGCTGCTGCAGTGCTGCTGCTGTGCTGTGCTAATGCTGCTGTTGTGCTGCTGCTGCTTGCATCCTGCTGCTGTTGCTCCTCTGCTGCTGCTCTGCTGCTGCTGCTACTCTGCTGCTGCTTCTGCCCTGCTGCTGCTGCCACTCTGCTACTCTGCTGCTGCTTCTGCCCTGCTGCTGCTGCCACTCTGCTACTCTGCTGCTGCTGTTACTCTGCTGCTCTGCTGCTGCTGCTGCTGCTGCTGCTGCAGAGCCCCTGGACATAGCTCGTCTGTCTGTGGAGGAAAAAGTGTTTGTGAAATGCAGAGGCGAGCGGCAACTCAAGGGCACTCTCCACGTACGAGCAGCAGCTGCTGCTGCTGCTGCTTTGCTGCTGCTGCTGCTTCTGCTGCTGCTGCTGCTGCTGCTTCTGCTGCTGCTGTTTTCGTTGCTGCTGCTCCTGTCGTTCCGCAGCCAGTTCCTATTTGCATTGTGGCCGTCACATTCTGCTTCATCTGTTTGGCCCGTTTGCTGCCTTCGAGTCTTGCTGCAGCTGCTGCTGCAGATGCAGCAGCTGCTGCTGCTGCAGCAGCTGCTGCTGCTGCAGATGCAGCAGCTGCTGCTGATGCAGCAGCTGTGCAGTTCGCGGTTCTGTTTTTCTGTTGGGCTAAACAAGTGTGTTGCCTTTCTGTGTGCGTGCAGCCATAGCCCGAAACCCAAAACCCTAAACCCTTTTTTGTGGTTTGGGGTTTGCGCTTCTGTTGCAGTCATATGATGTCCACCTAAATCTGGTCCTCGCAGACGCAGAAGAAACCCTCACTGTCGTTGACGACGCCACCAACAAGCTCTCCGTAAACCCTAAACCCTAAACCCTAAACCCTAAACCCTAAACCCTTCTAGTCCCTAAACCCTACTGCTTGGCTGCTACACTCTAGGACTTCGAGAGAAGGCAACGGCCATAGCCTGTGCCCCTCAGCTACCTTCTTTGGTTCTCTTTCCTAGGGTTTAGGGTTTAGGGTTTAGGGTTTAGGGTTTGCGGTGTGGGGTGCAGAAAACAGTGCGTAAATTGCCTCTCATATTTGTGAGGGGAGACGCAGTAGTTCTTCTTTCCCCCCTCAGCACTTGAGCAAAGCAAAACCCCACACTGGGATCGTCTCCCCGATCCCGGGATCGACCGATCCCGGCATCGTCTCCCACTGCTGGGATCGTCTTTTCCGATCCCGGGATCGTCTCCAAGCGCTGGGATCGTCTGTCCCGATCCTGGGATCGTCTTTTCCGATTCTGGGATCGTCTTTTCGATCCTGGGATCGTCTTTTCGATCCTGGGATCGTCTTTTTCGATCCCGGGATCGTCTCGCTGCCATTTTGGGATCGTCCCCGAGTGTGGGGTCGGGGATCGTCTCCCCACAGCTGGGATCGCCTCCCCAGAGCTGCATGCACGCTTCCTGCCTTTTGCTGCTGCTGCTGCAGTTGCGGAAGCAGCAGGAACAGAGGGTTTTAAGTAGCGCCTCCAGAACTCTCGCTGCTGCTGCCGATTTGCTGCTGCTGCTGCCGCCTTGCTGCTGCTGCTGCTGTCTTGCTGCTGCTGCTGCCGCAGCAGCAGTGCAGCAACTTCATGTGCGACTTACGCAGCTGTGGCGCTGCTGCTGTCTTTGGGACTGCTGCCGTTGCTGTTGCTGCCAGTGCTGCTCTTGCTGCTGCTGCTGCTGCTGCTGCTGCTGCTGCTGCTGCTGCCCTGAAACTCTCGGTAGGCAACGCGGGCCAACTGCATGCAGCCGGTCAGCGCCATTGCGACGTTAACTGAGCAGCCAATCGCCTCCAAACCCTAAACCCTAAACCCTAAACCCTAAACCCTCAAGCTGCTGAGCAGGTCTATGCTGCTGCAGCTGTTTCTGCTGCTGCTGCTGCTGCTGCGCTAACCGAACCGCCTACTGCAGTCTGTACGGGGGCACAAGGCTGCAGCTTGCTGCATAGGGTTTACAGTACATAGGATTTAGGGTTTAGGGCTTAGGGTTTAGGGTTTAGGGTTTAGGGTTTACCACTGAAGAGGTTCCAGTTCTTCGGCGTAATTACCATGCTGTACCTCGACCAGATAATGCCCGTTGCTGCCACAGCTGCAGCAACAGCAGCAGCAGCAGCAGCAGCAGCAGCAGCAATAAAGTGCAGAGCGTGCCTTGTAAAGGCGGCGCATAAAGCAGCAGCAGCAAGAACAAGAGAAGCAGCAGCAGCAGCTGCGCTCTTTACTATAAAGCAGCAAAAGCACAACCACCAGCAACACAAAGTGCAGCAGCACAGCAGACGCAGTCCCCAAGCAGCAGCAGCAAGAACAAGAGAAGCAGCAGCGCAGCAGCAGCGCAGCAGCAGCGCAGCAGCAGCAACAGCCAAGCAGCAACGGCACCAGCTCCCGCCGCCCTGCAGCAACAGCAACGGCTACAGCAGCAGCAGCTCGATCCCCAGCAGCAGCGCAGCAGCAACACCATCCCCAGCAGCAGCGCAGCAGCAGCACCATTCCCAGCAGCAGCGCAGCAGCAGCACCATCCCCAGCAGCAGCGCAGCAGCAACACCATTCCCAGCAGCAGCACCATCCCCAGCAGCAGCACCGTCCCCAGCAGCAGCACCCTCCCCAGCAGCAGCACCCTCCCCAGCAGCAGCATCCCCAGCAGCAGCAGCAGCAGCACCATCCCCAGCAGCAGCAGCAGCAGCAGCAGCAGCAGCAGCAGCAGCAGCAGCACCGATTTGCTGCGCAGGCGAGACTCCCGCGACGTCTTTGTCGAGCATGTCGATTAAGTTGGCGATGGAAATTCCCCACTTGAAAGTGGGGGCCCAAAAGTGGATGGTGAAGGGCCCCGCGGGGTGGCCTGTGCGCAGCAGCAAACGCAGCAGCAACCTGGCTCTGCTGCTGCTGCTGCTGCTGCTGCTGCTGCTGCTGCTGCTGCTGCTGCTGCTGCTGCTGCTGCTGCTGGGGGTGCGGCGCGGGCGCGGGCTGCTGCGCGCGGGGGGGAACGCGGCAGTGGACGGGAGGCGCTGCGGCTGCTGCAAGTTTGCTGCTGCTGCTGCTGCTGCCGCTGCCTGCTGCTTCTCGCGCGTCCGCTGCTGCTGCTGCTGCAGCTCTCGCTACTGCTGCAGGGCTTAGGGTTTAGGGTTTAGGGTTTAGGTCCCGCGGTTTAGGGTTTGGGACTTACTGATGAAGTCCTTCGCCTTCTGCGGCAGCGGCAGCTGCAAGGCGCGGCGCTGCAGCGCCGGGGCTATTCCAGGAAAGAAGAGAGAGCGGCCTGCTGCTGCTGCTGCTGCCATTGTGGTTTGCTGCTGTCCCTGTTGCTGCTGCTGCTGTTGCGTCGCTGCTGCCGTGTTGCTGCTGCGCTGCTGCAGCTGCAATGCTGCTGCTGTTGCTGCTGGTGCCGTGCTGTTGCTGGTGTGCCCCCGCTGCTGCTGCTGCTGAGCTGCTGCTGCTGCTGTGCTGCCGCTGTTGCTGCTGCGGCGCTGCTCCGCCGTGTGTTGCGACAATGGAATGAATAAGGGTAGGGAGTTTCCGAGGGTTTAGGGTTTAGGGTTTGGGCTTGCTGCTGATTAGGGTTTCGAGATTGCGGCCTGGGGCTGGCAAGGCAGGGGCCCCACCTGTCAGTTTGCTGCAGCAAGTTTCCCGCAGCAATGCAGCTTTGAGTTCAGGTGTGCGTACACCTGAAGCAGCAGCAGCAGCAGCAGCAGCGACAGCAGCGGGGAATCCAACTGCTGCTGCAGCAGCACTGCTTTGCCTATGCAGCACAGCTCCCGCTGCAGGGCGTTCAGGTGAGCAATTTAGGGGCTAGGGTTTAGGGTTTAGGGTTTTAGGTTAAGGGTTACTAACGAATTTATGCAGAAGAAGAAGCAGATGGCGAAAGGGACCAGCATGCATGCACTTGAATTTTGAAGAACCGACTACTTGCTGCTGCTGCTGCTGCTGCTGCTGCTGCAGCTGCCGAGACAGCAGCAGCTCCTGCAGTTACTGCTGCTGCCGCTAAAGACCACACCGCGAAGTCTTTAATATGCTTTGAACTAAAAATTAAATTTATTAAAGGACTTGTAGCACGCGTGTATGGTTCTTTTCAGCTGCACTGCTGCTGCTGCTGCTGTTGCTGCTGCTGCTGCTGCTGCTGCTGCTCGGCCGGGCGCCGGCGAAGCCTTGCTGCTGCTGCAGCCGTTGCTGCTGCTGCTGATGCAGCTGCAATAGCTGCGTATGCTGCAGTGTTTTATTGAACTCTTAAGGGTAGGACTGAAATCTGTTATTGTTTTCTTTGTCTTCATTTGATGGGCCAGCAGCAGCAGCAGCAGCAGCAGCAGCAGCAGCAGCAGCAGCAGCAGAGGCAGCTTCGTAGCTGTTGACCGTTGGAGCCCATCGGGAAGGAGACAGTCTCCGCCCTGTCTGTCGTTGTCCCTTGTCTCGTTTTGACTGGAAGATCTTTACTTAAAACCCTAAACCCTAAACCCTAAACCCTAGGACTCACACCCTAGGTTTTTTCTTGCGGCGCTTGGGCTGGTGACACGGGAGCTACGGCTGACGAATGGTCCATCCGAGCCCGAGCCCTAAACCCTAAACCCTAAACCCTAAACCCCCGGCCGTCAGATTCACCCTAATTCGCGAACATTGAATAAGCCTAGGGTTTTTTCAACCCTTGCTTCTTTCCCGCGTGTCGGCGCTGCAGCAGCAGCAGCAGCAGCAGCAGCAGCAGCAGCGCCAGCAAGCCTTGCTGGAGCGCATAAGGCAGCAAATATTATCTCTGGAAAAGCGTAAGCCCCAAACCCTAGGCCGCCAAACCCTAAACCCTAAACCCTAAACCCTAAAGGGGAAGACGGGCCTGCTCACTGCGTCTGCTGCGCCGTGCAGATGACTAAAGGGATGCTGTCTGTTGCTGCTGCTGCTGCTGCAGCAGCAGCAGCACTGCTCCCCATGCCCCTAGCGGCTCTACAGCTCACAGGTACCTAAACCCTAGACCCTAGACCCTAAACCCTAGGCCCAAGCTTTAGCAAACCAGCGCACAGAGGTGCGGCTTCGCACTGCTGTGATCAGCAATGCCTTGGGGTTTAGGGTTTAGGGTTTAGGGTTTAGGGTTTAAGAATTGGTGGTTGCAGGCCAGCGGGGGTTTCCCAGTTTGTCTCGATACGAAATTCCCACAGTGGAGACCGACATGGGAATATCTTTGCTGCAGCAGAGCCACAAGGTGCTGCAGCGCAGGCGGCAGCAGCAGCAGCAGCAGCTGCTGCTGCAGCCGGAGGATCCCCGGTGGGCAGAGGAAGAGGACCCCTGGCTCCTTCCCTCCTTCCAGCAGCAGGAGCAGCAGCAGGAGCAGCAGCAGGAGCAGCAGCCGGAGCAGCAGCAGCAAGCAGCAGCACCAGCCGGCGCGAGCGAGCCAGCCACTGTTGCTGCAAACGAAACAGGCAAAGCCGGAGCAGCAGGCCCCGCAGCAGCAGCAGCAGCAGCAGACGCTGCTGCTGCTCCCGCTGCGCAGGGCGCGCCGGAGAGCCCAGCAGCAGCAGCAGCAGCAGCAGCGCCTGCGTCCGAGTCTGCCCCAGCAGCAGGAGCAGCAGCAGAGCCGTCCGCACCCCCAGCAGCAGCAGCAGCGTCCGAGCCGCCCCCAGCAGCAGCAGCAGCAGCAGCAGCAGCAGCAGCAGCAGGCGCTGCGCACGTCTCGTCAGTGGGGCTGCCGCTGCCCGCGGGGCTGGAAGCCCTCGAGCAGCGCATGCAAAAGGCCTTGAGAAAAGAAAGAATTAATTTGAAGAGAATTACTGGAGGCACTCTTCCGGAGTACGGAGAAGCTGGCAGTTTGCCCATGCTCTGCGGCACTTGGCAGGTGACCCAAACCCTAAACCCTAAACCCTAAACCCTAAACCCTAAACCCTAAACTCTAAACCCTACGCGCTGGGGCGCGGCGACGAAACACGCGGCGCTGCGCGCGGGACGGGACTTCAGCTTGCTGCTGCCTTTCTTTGCAGGGTTTAGGGGGGCCAAACCCTAAACCCTAAACCCTAAACCCTGGGAGTTAGTAGGGTTTTCTCTTGCCTCTGCTCCTCTTTGAGGGTTTGTTTTCCTCAAAAGAGTTTCGGGTTTGTGGTGGTTTAGGGTTTAGAACAATGACAGCTTTTGGTGGTTAAG